TAGGCTTTTGTATATATAGATATAGATAGTCAAACCCTAATATGCAAATTGACCGAACAGCAGAATGACCAGTCGCTATGATGCACACTGACCATCAGGAGGCAGACGCTCAATGCAGGAGCTGCCCCCTGGTGGTCAGTGCGCTCCCACAGGGGAAGCACTGCTCAGCCAGAAGCTGCCCCCTGCATTGGGCTGGGTAGAAACACTGTTGAGTTGCTTTTAGGGCCCACTTTCTCCTGAACCCCATGACAAAAATTATTTCTTTAACTATTTATGCCTTTGAGTGAGCTACAGATATTATATTGTCAAACTTAAGTGATTAAGACCAGGGCATTTGGAGTACAGAAGGCAAGAATTTGTTCAAATTTTAACCTGACCATTTACTAACCATACGATGCTAAGTTAGTTAGCTTCTGTAAGCTTTGGTTCACTTATTAGTAAAGTGGGAATAACAATAGTATTATAGGGTTGTTGTGAGGACTGAGTCAGGTAAGTCATGTAAGCACTTACACAGTGTCCGAGGCACAATAGTCAATCGATTTTTAATTGAATAAGAGAAACATTACTCTTTGTACTTGTGGTCCTAGGAGTTGCTGTGGTTTCTGCACATAACTAATGGCTTTGGTTATGTGTTGGCTGTACTCTGTTAACTCTGAGAGTTTTGTAGGAGCCTTCTTGATGCTTTCCCTACTGAGCCCATCTCCTGACTCCAGGAACATTGGGGCCATGAGAGACAAGGGAAACAGGTATTGCAGAAGGGCCACCAGTCCTGTCTGAACTGCCTTGTCATTTTTGTTCTCCACAAAAGTGTTCCTGTTTAAAGGGCTGTCTTCAAATTGTTCTCACTTCTCTTGGGCCATCTTTGTCCTATTGGCTGCTAAAGAGTGTGAAGGTTGATATATTATGGGGAAGTTTTTTCCAACTGAATTCCATAACATTCTGGAAAATGGAAGAGTTGGCTTAGATGGGAGAAGAGTTGGACCTATATGTGGTAATCATTTCATTGTGTATACGTATATCAAAAATACTTCAAGTATATACAATTTTTATTAAAAAATAAGTAATAAAGTAAAAAAAAAAAGAAATGTTCTATTCTTATCAGAATGGCTTAGTGTGACCTTGGCCATTGTCACCTCAAGTGAAATACTTCAATAGCTTGAGTGTGATTGTTTTGCCAATGGAATGTAAGCCTCTCAGAGCAGCACAATGAAATCATACTTGCAATGTTATTGGGTGCCAGGCATGCTCTAAGAGCTTTGCATGCAATAATTAATGTCAACCTTATGAAGTATATGCTATTAATAGCCTCAGTTTAAAGATGAGGAAGTGGAGATAGAAAAGTTGAGTAACTTGCCCAAGATCTCCCACCAAGAGGTGGCAGGACCAGGAATCAGACCCCGCTGGTCTAGCTTCAAGTCTCTGTTCTTAGTCAGCATGTGATTTTGCTTCTTGACAGGAGATGGCCCAAGTTCTTTTCTGGCTCTTCCTGATGCCTTAGTAGAAGACACTTGTTCTGAATTTTCATCCTAGTCTTCTTTCCCTCAGTTATTAAGTTCTCTTAAATGGGCTGTAATTTTTATATGCTGTCCACTTTGAGACTTCTCTCTGCACCCACAAAAGTTTTGCTGGGGGTACAGGTGAGAAGGGGGTGGATTCTCGGAGAGTGGCAGTGAGGGGCGGCACAGTTATTTTTGATGTGATGGGTCAATGGAACATGAGCTGACAAACACCTATTCCCCATTTGGGGTGCAGAAAGAAGACCTTTCTACTCTTGCATACAAGTTGGGGATAGGCAGTTCTCTACAACCAACTATAGGCATTCAGCCCAAAGTATGGTCTCTCTCGCTAGGTCTGTTGGGTAAGTAGGGTTAAGTTGTTTCTCTAATGGCCATGGATATCAAGTAGGTAAGGATGAACCTTGAGGACATTATGCTAAGTGAAATAAGCCAGTTACAGGAAGACAATAATGCATGATTCCACTTACATGACATATCTAAAAACATACAAACACATAGAAATAAGGAATAGAGTAGTGGTTAACGGGGGCTTAAGGGAGGGGATAAGGAAGTGTTGCTAATCAAGGGGTTTGAAGTCTCAGTTATGAAAAATGTGTAAGTTCTAATCTAGAGAACTGCTGTACAGCATTGTGACTATGGATAAAAATACTGCTTCTGTTCTTGGAGACAGATTATATAATGTATCAGGCACATTTTTTACCTTGCTAAGGAAATCAAAGTACTTAAAATTCAGTCTAATTTTTGGCATTGGGCAAATCATTTGACTTCTCTGTTAGTTTTCTTATCTTTTAAATGTAAATATTAATAGTAGCTACTTCATGGTGGTGTTGTGAGGATTAAATGAGTTTGTAATAATTATTAACTTATTGATTAACCACCCCACTTTATAAACAGGTGATTAGGCATGTAGGGGAAGAATCATCTGCAAGTGTGGTCATCTGTCAAGCTAATGTCATAACCTAAAAGAACCTTAAAAAGGCATTAAGTCATCCAGATCTTTAAACCGATTAAAAAGCAGTGGCTTTTAATTTGGCACACATGCTTTAGCTGAGGATTTTGTTATAATTTGGATTCCCGGGCCCCCCACCTGGAGATGGCAGTGTGGGAGGTCTGGGGTAGGGCTCAAGAATCTGGATTTTACAAGCTCCCCAGGGGATTTGAATGGAGGTGGTTTCTGGGTTGAGTAGAGAAATTCTGGTGGGAAGTAATGTGTGGGGTTATAACTGACCGAACTCTTGAGGAAAATCTTCGGGAAGCCTCTTCGAAGCAGAAAATGATGGATTGATCCTGGAGGATGAGGATGGAGAGGTCGTGGGCCATGTATAAGGGTGGGGGTGCAGTGCATGGGTGAGAGACGGAGGGGAAGAGAGAAGTAGAAGTAACGTTACCCCTGTGTTCGAAGGGGTTTAAACCAGTTCTCATATGAAGGTGGAGTCAACGTGAAAAAAGACAAAACATAGAGAAAATATATTTTCTTGTTTATGAATACAAATGGGTGCTGATATCCCTGCTCTGTCTGAGACAAGCAAACAAGAGGCCACCTGGCTCCATGGAGTCAGTGCTCCGTGAGTGTCTCACTAGGACTTCGTGGGCTTGGAGGAAGGAACCTGGCATCACAGCTGCCTTGCAGGACTGGGACTCACGGATGCCTTGGTTTCAAGTGTCTGTAATTTGGCCGAGTGGTTAAGAGCATGAGGGTGGGGGTCAGAGAGATCTGGGTTTGAGTCCTGGCTCTGTCACTATCCAGCTCTGGGAAAGCCATTTACTCTGTCTGAGGTTTCCTTTCATTGTATGGAGAGAGGAATAAAAAGAGCTGCCTTATGGGGCTGTGCTGAGGATGAGAGGCTGTGATGTGAAAGGCTCTGCCGCACAGGGCCTGATAATGGGAGATGCTCAGCACACCGCAACCATTATTATTATTATTAATGGCATTATTGTACTCTATAGCACTTGTCTTCCAAGGAGGCTCACACTGGTGTTACATTTATATTAATAATGGCAATATTTATAAGAATAACTAACATATATTGAATATGTGCTGTTTGCCAGATACTCCTCTAAGTACTTTTTAAATGCTTTAGTTTATTTAATTCTCACAATGATCTGATGGTAGTTATTACTAATGTCCCTGTTTTGCCGATGGGGAAAGCCATGTTCAGAAAGGTTCAATTACCCACTTGATGTTTCACAGTGAAGAAGCAGTGGTGGGATTTGAACTCAGGCTCCAGGGACCATGGTGTTTCTTGATTCATGCTTGTCTTTTGGGCTGTGCTAAAATTATACTTCTATTGACGCCTTCATTTCCCTCTCCATCAGCTCCTTTTCTATGCTAGCTGCTGACCTTTGCTGACCTGTGGATATAAAAAAACCCACCTTTAACCCCCTCCTGTGGCTGCATAGGATACTGATTTAGCTTCCTGGTAAAAATCTGGACCCCTCATTGCCTTTACAAGGTTTGACTACTCATATACAACGTCTAGCAGATGGTTTTACATTCCTTACACAGAGAAAACACTTAAAGCATCTGTACACCTGAGTGGTCAGAACCCCTCTTTACTATGCAGTCTGTAGTTTATTTTTATTATGGAAGGCATGTGGGATACTTTGCCGAGTGGGAGGAAGATGTGCTATTTCTGGGATAGATTGACAATGACGCTGCATCAGCCTGAGGTTAGTCTGAGTCCAGCGAGGTTCCTAAACCCTGAGCCTTATTGGAATTAAAACTCAGAGCAGACTGAGCAGCTCTGGCCTCTCACCAGTTGGCTTCCCAGTCTGTTGATGGTATGTATGGGGTCCACCAGGGACCATCACTGAACCAACACCAAGGAAGATGGCCTGGAAGGAAATGACATAAGCCCGGCTTTCAAATTAGGGAATAAACTGCCTTCCACAGAGCACTTCACAGCTTACAAAACCCTTTCACCATCAGTATCCCATTTAATCCTCCCAGCCGCACGGGAGGCAGGGCCCAAGTTGTTATGTCCCTTTTACTCAGGGCCACCCACACTGGCTCGGTTGTGACTCTGCCCTCAGGTTTCTGAGTCCAAGTCTCATGCTCTTTCCACATTTCCACCCTCCGTCTGAGATAGTATGCAATGAGGTGCTACCAGGGCTAACCTGGGCGTTCAGATGAGAGAGAAATTATCGATAGAAAAGAGATCACCCTGGGAGTTCTGCATTCCACTTGCTTAGTGTAAGTTGCTGCTTGTGTGGAGGAAGTGGATTGCTGAGCTGTGAGTTAATGCTTTTGTCTTTGATGTGGGCATCAGTCATCAACTGATACCTGATACATATCCTAAGACTTCAAAAATGCTTTATTGACTACAATTGTGGGCTTGGTCACTGGGGAGCTTGTTCTATTCTTTGCCCCCGCACAAAGCCAAACACTGTTAAAACTCCAAAATCATGACTGGATAGATACATTCATGGAGAAAGAATTTTAACTTGAGATAATAATGGCACAGGTCTAGAGCCATGGCTAAAACAAAGCTTATATAAAACTGACAATTATGTAGTGCTTTCCAGCATACAGAGCAGCATTGCATAAACAGTTTCATTTGATCTTCACAATATCCGTGTAAGGTAGGCACGATCCTCATTTAACAAACAAGGAAATTAAATTGGATGAAGGCCGAAGTGGCAAGTTTAGGACTTCAGGATTTCTGGCTTCCTGTTCTGTGTTTGACTCAGAATTATTTACTAAAACCTCTGGAAATGTCAAGTAACTTTCATAGGGAATGACCTACACGCTCTGTGACCCGACTATGAGAAGCTTTGGTAAGGGCTGGGGACATAAATGGACCTTCTCACTCTGGGACTGCCTCATGCTTGCAAGAGCAAGTATTCCTGATTACTTTCTTGCAGAGTTTGTGAATATTAAGTCCATTCTCTCTGGTGGATAGACTGAAGCAGGCATCTAAGTTATTTTTCCATAGTGACCCATCACAGGGAGACAGAGGAGCAGGGTTATGTCTTGAGCGTTCCAGCTACATGTCCCTTGTAAAACCATCAGAACCAAATCCCATTCCCTAAAGAATAGAAAGAGAAATAGCAAACATTTAATGAGAGGATCCATGCTATTTCTTCAAAATGCTCTCGATCCACTCCCCATAATTCTTCCCAATTTTCAGTGAAAATATTTGGAGAGCCTAATGGTTCCCAAAGTTTTGGAGAACATGGACGTTTTTAAAACATCTTGGGGAAGATAAAGTATGTACGCATGGGTAAACAGTAATTAGGACAACAGAGTTCAGAAGGATTTAGACTCATGACAATCTATTCAAGGAAACTAAATATTAAGGATCTTTGTCTCTATTCATGCTGTCCCCATAGAAGCTTCTTTCTATATCCAAAGAGGGAGTTTAGAAGGGAAGGTGGTAGCTTTTCACCTTCATGTGCCACAGCCAAAAACAATCCCAGAACTTGTCTGACTGGCTCTAAGGAGGAACGCAAGTAAATAAGACCTGAATAAACAAAAGAGAAACCTGCCCATCACTTGTGGGCTGTAATGTAGGTCACCTTCCAGGGCACTTACAAATCAGTGCTTGTTCCTCAGATTAATGTGAAATGTGCTTCCAGAGAATGTCAGTTTTTATCACGTTGGCCGCAGAGAGCTGGGACAGGAGCAGAATGTCAATGGGGACCCACTGTAGTAGAAAGAAACTAAATACCTGAGGGGACTGGGGAATTCTTAAACCTTTCTGGAAGGCGCAAGAATTGGCCTCTCTTCCATGAATGAGGGCCACTTTCATCACCTTGGGATGTTAGACTTTGGCAGCTCTGATGATGAAGCAAGGCTGCACATGCTCATGCGAAGAAATGACTTTCCCATCCTTAATCTCCTTGGTGATGGTCAAGATTTTAGCCAGTAGTCGGGGTAGGTCTCTGTAGGCGCAGCTGGGCTCGGGTATCCCATGGAGAGCTGAAGATGATGTGTAAACTGGGGCTGTGCATTCCATGGCTGTGCAGACTGAAGGCTCACATATAGTGGCACACGGGTTGCAGGAAAGCCTAGACAAAAACAGAATTGTACCTGTGACTGAGGGAAGGCAACACTGGCTCTGGAGAAAAATGGCGGTGGTTAATTTTTCAACACGTGTCACTCAAAACAATTTAAAAACATTACATAATTTCTTATAATTTAAAAACATTACAGCTTCTATAAAAGTATGCTGAAGAGTGCATATGGACATGATGCTGTTGGCCTCGAGGGTAAGTGGCTGGAGGGGATAAGGGTTTCAGCCTAAGCAGCTTCCTCCAAAGGGAGCAGGGTTGTACTGTTCAATCTCATGAAGTTCAGATGTTCATCTCAGTGGGGAAAATCTGTAAGTCACCAGGAATGTTCATCTTTAAAGAAACCATTTTTCCCCCTAGTAATTTTTAAAAGCCTAAGAAGTTAAAAACCTATAAGGAAGTAACCAGGAGCACCAACTCCTCAAAAAAACTGAGCTCAGCTCGACTAGGTTACTATGTGGATGTCCAAATGGCACAGCCTAAGAGAGTGTATGGACCCTTTGATCCAAAGCTCCCCATCACTGGTCAGATCAGAGCACTGTTGCCCTGTTGCCAGTGGTAGTACATACATACATACATACATACATACATGTCGCGAGTGTCTTTTTCATAAAGATGTTGTTACGTTACGCACTTGCTGTCTGAGCTCTCCAGCAGGCTGCGGTAGGTGGCAATCTCACACTCCAGCTGGGACTTGACGTCCAGCAGAATCTCGTATTCTTGGTTCTGCCTCTCCAGGGCACATCGGATCTCCGCCAGCTGAGCCTCGAGGTTATCGATCAGACACTGCATCTGGGCCAGCAGGGCTGTGTAGCGGGCCTCCGTCTCCGCCAGCAGGCACTCCTGGGAGTCTCTCTGCCGCAGGAGGAAAGCAGGATTTAGAATGATGACTCCTTTAAGCCCAGGTCTTTGTGATCTGTACCATTCTCAACAGTGGTTTCTTTGTGAGAGATGCTAATGAATCTTCAAGCCCTCTTATCATCGCACCAATAAACCCAAAACCAAAATTATCAACTATGCTAAAGCTTCTTTCTTTCTTTCTTTCTTTCTTTCTTTCTTTCTTCGTTCGGTCGGTCTTTCTTTCTTTTTTTCTTTTTTTGGCCTCCTTTTAAGTGCTACTTATCTTTCTCTTTCTTAATCACTTGACAATCTCCTACCACACTTTCCTACCTATGAGAAAAAAGTACTCCAACTTATTTCACACCTAGGAATTAAAAATCCATTACTATGGTACCTCAAGAGTGTTTGTACCTTAAAAAGGAAGTGAGCAGGTTTAGCCACCTCCCTCAGAAAACTATTTCATAAATTTTGATAGTTTGTAAGTCGATCATTGAATCAGTTTTTTATATATAACGTATGAGAGTTGAAACTTTGATGATTAAAGTCCTTTCCTGCTCTATCATTCTTTAAGTTTCATGGATAATGGCATTTTATATTTTAATAACCTAGTGTTTGTATGATTATCCCCATTTTTATAGATGAGGAAATTGAGCTTCAAGAGGTTAATGAGCAGCCCCCAGACACATGACTAGCTGGTGACAAAAGCAGCTTTGGGGAAGGTCTTCCTAATACCCTTGCTCTCAGAGCTTTTCAGTATTCCCTGCTTCAGAGAGTTAGTAGGTGGTGGAATCAGTTCTAACTTGGGATCCTGAGTTCTGGCTCAGACTCTTAATTCTTTTGTGACTTAATGCCTTAGGATCGTAGTGTCTCCTCCACCTATAAAATTGGTGAGATGAAACTTACATTGGATTTGGCTTGGGAAAATCACCTTAGCTCTTACCTGTCAAATTGGCTTAATAATTATCCCACCTCCCTCAGAAGACTATTTTATAAATTTTGATAGTTTGTAAAAATGCTTTGCATAAAATAAAATTCTAGTGTTTCCCAAAGTGCATTCAGGGATCACTATTGCCATTAGAATTCTTTGAAAAAGGAGTCCACAGTCAAGTAAGTTCTGGAATGCTGAGTGCCATATTTCCCCTTCTCGGAGATTCATGGTACATACCAGCTTATCAAAGGCCTGCGGGAAGGCCGCCTGTTTAACCTTTGTTTAATGCAGCATTTCCCAGGCTTCCTTGACCATAGAGTCCTTTTTTTGGCCATAGACCCTTTAACAAACAGAGGGACTATTGTTCTGAGGGACGCAGTTTGGGAAACATTGCAGCACACGAGTCAGGAGCTATTGCCATATATGGCGCTAGGCTTGGTCAGTTTGTTGGGTACCATTCGGTGCTGGGCCTGCCGCTCCACCTCCAGAGCATTCATGGTTCGTCTCAGCTCGATGATCTCCTTCTGGCAGCACTGCTGCTGTTGAGAGCTGGTCTCCACCTGCTGGTTCAGCTCCTCCATCTGAAACATAGTCAAGGACCATGGATATTATGATGGAGAACATAAGTTTGTAAAAGGCCCCTGGAAGGGCAATGTCTGATCACTGGTTTTGACTTTCCTATCCTCCCCACCTGCGTGTTGAACCACTGTTCCACATCTCTGCGGTTTGTCTCCATGATAGACTCATATTGACATCTCATTTCTTGTAGAACCCGATTTAGGTCAACAGAGGGGGCAGCAGTCACTTCAATGTTGAGTCGGTCCCCAAGCTGGCTCTGTAAGGAATTGGTTTCCTATGGAAAGAAAGAGAGTGTGAAGTCACTTGGTGAACGATGACCTCCTTGCCTTCCTGTTTCAGTCTAACAGCAATAATGTAGCTTAGTCATGTCTGAACTATAGCCCACAATAAAGGAATACATGATTCATAGATGCTTTTGCGATGCTATAAAATGACTTAAGCCTATTTTAGATGTGACTATGTGTTCAAATAAGTGCAACATTAAAAGGAATTGACTGGCAAGATCAGGGGTTTAAAGAATTTAGATCATTTCCAAGGATGGATAAGGGGGTGAAGCAGCACAGAGGTGGACTTTACTGAGAGACCATAGTCTCTATAATGCCAATATGGGCTTATGCCAATATTGACTTATACCAGTAGTGCCTGAATCTGTGTAGGGATGTCTACTAAAATAGGGGAAACCTGTGAGGACAATAAAATTGGTTTATTTCCTTCTCCTAGAAAAGCTGGAGAGGAAAATGGAGGCTTCAGATACTGTATTATAGGCAACTGATGTGAAATACATTGAACCAATGGTAATAGTAATAGTTATGATCATGGCTAAAAAACAGAAGACTATCTAGAGAGGACACCCTTCGTCAAGTTGAACTCAAAGGGATTGGATGCTATTTTTAGAGGCTTAGCTGGGGCTTTCTCTAACCTTCTCATGGTCGCTTTTGAGGCAAAGGAGCTCCTCCTTCAGAGACTGGACTCGTGCCTCCAGGTCAGCTTTGCCCAGGGTCAGTGCATTCAGGATCCGCTGTAGACCATTGGCATCTGCCTCCACTAGCTGGCGCAGGGACACCTCAGCTTCATACCTTTCAAAATGAGACATGAAGTGAAAGACATTAAATTGTAGGTGGTGTTAACCAAGCAAAGCAGAACTGACTGCCTTGTGGCACTTCCTTGTGGGCCTCTCATTTCCTGCATTTCTCATGTGGGTTTTCTTCTCTTTAGAGGTGAGATCATTAGATAAACATCACCACTGAGTTATTATTCCTAGATTAGTCTGCCAGAATGATGCTACATTGCTTTTCTCTGAGATGAGGGCATTTATCCTCCTCTCCCTGCCCCTAGAAGTGATGCAGTGCAAGTGCATGGTGTTGGATTAGGATTTAAGAGAATTTGCATCCAAGATTTGGCTCTGTCTTGTACTACTAGTTGTATGCCTTTGCATAAGTAACTGAACCCCATTAAATCACAGTTTTCTCACTTTAAACAGTGTAACAGCATATTTGCCCTACTTATTTTACTGAACGATTGGGAAGGTAATCAGGTGGGTTTATATGTTAGAAAATACAAGCACTGTATACATATGAGTGGTTATTAATCTTAATGCTTCATTGAATGTGAAGGTCTCTTCTGGGCTAGTGCCTTCATGGTATGGGCAGGAGGGTTGGTAGACTTATGTATAATCTTATTGAGGGAATTAGCACCAGACGCGAGGTGAATTCTGTCAGGAACGACAGTGCTGGGTGGGCTTACTTGGCTCTCAAGTCATCAGCAGCCAGTTTGGTGTTGTCAATTTGTGAGACCAGTCTGGAATTCTCAGCCTTGGTACACAAGATCTAGAATTAAGAAGTTGTACACACAAATGAGACAAACACCAAGATCCCTTCCTTAAAAACCAAGGGGCTGGTGTGTATTTCAGTTAACAGGGGAAGGCCAGTTAGGCTTTTCCTAGCTATGCTTAGGCAGCCTGGACAACTTTGGAAAATCAAAGTTTTTGTTATTTCCCTAAAAATTAAGCAAAATTACTTTAATAAAAATTTGTGTAGATGTTTTATTAAAATACGAAATCTACCTTAAATTTGTGTAACATATATGAGCCACCAGAATGTAAAATCCATATGGGCAGGGACATTTTAGTTCACCAGTATGTATCCTAAGCCTAGAATAATGTCTGGTGCCTTGTTGTTATGCTCAGTAAATATGTTTTAAACCAATGAAGCAGAATAATTTCAGCACATAGATTAGCAGCATATTACTCTGAATAGGAAAGTTAAGTTTGGTGTGGGAAGAAATTAAACAATTGGGAGATGAAGAAATGAGCATAAGATAGAAAAAGTGGTGATGGTGGGAAACATGGACAAAAATTAAACTAGTTAGGAACTTATTAAAACAAAATTCATTTTCTCAGATCCCTGTTTTCTTATTTTTATTAAGGAAATGGCAGCAATGGGTTATTAACACATTTTGGTCCTGAGTTATTTGGTTGGAATAATAGCAGAGTATATCTCTGGAAAATGAAAAACTATAGCTATTACTCTGAATATTGCATCAAAATGACAATTTCCTTCAAGACATTTTCTTATTCTACAAAATATTTTTCAGCATAAAAGGAAATAAAGATATTGGAGAATGTAAATTTAAAACTTGATTATACAGATTGCCAAGAATCTTACCTTCTGCTGGAGTTCCTTGATGGTAGAAAAGTAGGACAGGTAATCAGGACATATGACAGGGAGCTCTTTGTTACACTCTTCCTGGATTTTACACTCCAGTTCTGCGTTCTCTTGTTCCAGCATCCGCACCTTTTCCAGGTAGTTAGCAAGGCGGTCATTCAGGATTTGCATGGTCTCTTTCTCATGGCTGTTGATGCCTTCACCACACCAGCCACAATCGACGTTGTTTACTAAGCAGATGGGCATAGGGCAAAAGCAAGGAGTGGGTTGGCATCCCTGGGACTGGAAAGTTCTCAGAACATGGCCAGTTGGTTGGCATTTGTTGGTTTCAAGTTGTTGGCAGCTGGTATTGGAGGAGATGATCCTAAAATTTGTAATCCTAGAGCAGCCTTGGCATGGGGTTGAAGAAGAACTAGTTGTTGAGCAGTCCTTGGTATCCATAGTGTGTGCCCAGCTTTGGTTTATTTCAAAGTCTGTGGTTCTCCTGCATCAAAAGCTCAAGCTACTGTGACTGAGTCTAAATGCTGAGCCTTTTGTGGCTTTTTCCTCTTTGAAGTGCTTATATAGCCTTTCCTCCAGGCAGTGTCACAGCAGACAGGATGTTTTCCTGTCTGGTGCTTATGTCGAATCCCATAGGAACATCTCATTAGTCTGCTTTTTACTTGCCTGAGAAGAGTTACCTGGTCTCATAAAAATGTGCATTTAGGCTGTTACTAAGTTATTACCCATCACAACTACTGCTTGTCATTGGATTGAGAGCTTCACATTATTTCTTCAAAAGGAACTGTCGTCACAGGTCTAACAGCATCCATTATTAAGTAGGAATGAGTATATTGTGTTCATTAAGTCCTTGTTGACCTCTCCACCTGGCATTAACCTTGACCAGGAATGAGACCATTTATTTTTCCTTTCTTCTCTAGAAAAGGGAAACCATTATTATCTAATAATTATTGGTGTGAACTTAGAAATCAGTATTTTATTTTGTTCTGCCCAATCGATTTTCCTATTTTCTTCTTCTTCTTTGTTCTACTCAGTTGTTTTCCCATTTTTACTGTGAGTATGGATTAAATTGTCAGTCCTAACTAAGGCTCTTTTTAAAGGCAATTGTCAGGATTCTGTCTTAGCTTTCCAGATAGGTTTTGATTGCTAACAAGAAATTTCTTGAAAAAGAGGCTGGTTACCTTTCGGTTTTTCCAAAGCCCACATCTGATAACATTTTTCGTGCTCAGTGTTTGCTTGTGGTATTACATTAGTTAAAAATTTGTGATGGTCTTGGTTTATATTTGATGTTTAAGTATGATCTGTTGAGAGGTATGCTTCTCGGGAATACTTACTCAGCATTTTATTAAGAAATTTATTAGCTCCCAGTCCTTTATAGAAGCTCTAGGAAAGGATAGTTTCTTTGCCTTTTTGAATTTCGAGAGGCCGCCCACATTCCTTGGCTTATGGCCCCCTCCCATCTTCAAAGTCTGCAATGGCCAGTCGAGTCTTTCTCACATGACCCTCCTGTTTTTGTCTTCCACATTTAAGGGTCCTTCTGATTTTATTGAGCCTACTCATATCATCTAGGATAATCTTCCTATTTTAACATCAGCTGATTAGCAACCTTACTTCCCCATAGCCAAATAGCCTAACATGTGCAAATGTTCTGGGATTAGGGCATAAACATCTTTGGGGCCCCAATGTTCTGCATATCAAATGATATAAAGAAAAAAACATAAAGATATAGCATATTTTTGACCTGAAATTCTATATTCATCATTATAAAAACGCCATGTATTTCTACATTAATTTAATTTAGATCCCAGTGAATTTATTGCAGTCCTCTCAAAATGGGACTTTTTTCAACTAGAAAAGATAATTCTGAAGTTTTACGAGAAAAAGTAAACAAATTTGAAGAGGTAGGAAAATTCTAAAAAGAAAAGCCACAGAGAAACTAGTCCTTTTGGATAGTAAAACATATTTTAAAACCTCAGTAATTAAAATAATATTGATGCCCAAATAGACAGACTGTTGGTTGAGAATAAGCAGTTTAGAAATAGACTCCCAAACAGACTGGGATTTACTATATGATAAATGTGACATTTAAAATCAATGGGGAAAAGATAGACTATCAGTGGTCTGGAGATAATTCTGTATCACCTGGGGAAGGGTACAGGGCAGGCGGTGTTGGATCATACCTAATAGTAAGACAAATTACAAATTGATCGAAGATTCAAATGTGAAAAATGAAATTACAAAAAGGGCTAAAAGAAAACATAGGAGAATCCTTTACATATGTACAATCAGAAGGTCTTTCAAATAGTGTCTCAAATTTCAGAAACTATGAAAAACATCAATTTGTCTACATCAAATAACTTATGCATGGGTAAAAAATACAACCTACAAAATTAGAAGATAGATACTGAACTGGAAAAGAATATTTGCAATTACACCACAAACAGTGACCAGAAAGAAAGTATAAAAGATGGGCAAAGGGGTAGGGAAGAGGGACACCTACAATAATGCCAACATTACAATTTTTAAATAAAAAATAAATTTAAAAAGTGCCTTGGAAATAATGCTCATTGTTACTCATAATAAAAAGAAATGTAAATTTAAATATTTTGTTAAATTGATTTCAGTGATGAAACATCAATGAGAGAGAGTATTGATTGGCTGCCTCCTGCACGCCCCCTATTGGGGATGGACGTGCAAACCAGGCATGTGCCCTGACGGAATCAATCCGCGACCTCCGGGTGTATGGGACCATGCTCAACCTACATTGGCCAGGCAGGACATGTAAATTTAAACTACATTGAGAAACCTAGTTGGTGTTGCTAAGTGATTAGAGCCTTGCCCTGCAAACCAAAGGGTTGTGGGTTTGATTCCCAGTCAAAGGCATGTACCTGGGTTGCAGGTTCAATACCCAGCCCTGGTCGGAGCAAGTATGGGAGGCAACCAATTGATGTATCACTCTCACATCGATGTTTCTCTCTGTCTTTCTCTCCCTCCCTTCCTCCCTTCCCCCTCTAAAAAAATCAATGGAAAAATATTCTTTTTAAACTTTTAAAATTTGAAATAATTATAGAGTCACATGAAGTTGCAAAGATAATGATTATATCTCTCTCAACTATAGTACGATTGTAAAACCAGGAAATTGATACAATATGTGTGTTTAGTTCTATATACTTTTTTTCACAGGTGTAGATTCATGTAATCACCACTGCAATCAATATATACAACTATTTAATCACCACAAAGATCTCCTTCATGCTCTGCCTACTTGTCCTCCATCTCTATAATGTTATCATTTCAAGAATGTCATGTGAATAGAATCATGCGGTACTGCCTTTTTCCACTCTCCATAGTGGCCTTCAGATCTTGAGGACATTTCGGTTGTTTTCAGTTTGGGCCGTTACAAATAAAGCTGCTACGAACAATTATGTATTTTCCCCCCAACCCCATTACTTCTAACCTACCTATATTTGAAGTGAACTTTTTGTGGAAAGTATTTAGTTTTTTATTCTCTCTGCCAATTTCTGTCCTTTACTTGGTATGTTTAGATGATTTCTGGTTGCTGTAATTACTGATATGGTGGGGCTTACGTCAGCATTTTGTTTTTTTTTTGTTTTCTCTTTGTTCCCTCTGTTTTTAAATTTCTGTTTTCTTCTTCCTGCCTTCCTGTGAGTTACTTGAATATGTTTAGAATTCCGCTTTTACTTATTTATAGCATTTTAAAGGTTTTTTTTGGATAGCTTTTCAAGTAGTTTCTTAAAAAGTATTACATTGCATACACATAGTTTATCAGTCTACTGGTGCTGACATTTTGTCACTTCAAGTGAAGTATAGAGACCTTACTTCCCTTCCTCCCTTTACTCGCCTTTTCTTGGAGCATTTTTTTTTTCTTTTTTTGTCTGCAGCTACTGGTGTTTCTTGGTTCTTGATTTCTCCAGTTCCCAATACCGGATATAGGAGACAAAAAGAAAGCCCTCCCCTCTCCCCTCCCGCCTCCCCTCCCCCCCCCCAAAAAAAAGCCCAGGAAACTCAGTACCATGTTGTTCCTTGGATATCAAGAGCCCTAGATGGTTTGGTCTCTTCTTCCACCTTTCAGAGTCTGCTTATATTTGTCTATATAATTTCCAGAGTTTTTAGTCATACTTAGGGAGAGGAAAGGGGAAATGTCCCTCTACTTCATCTTTCCTTTGCTTTTTATATGTGTAAGAATAATTATTCATATACTTAATGTCCAATAACAGATCAATGTACCTTATGGTATTTTATGAAGTCACTAAAATAATAGTCCACAAATGATCTTACATATTTATTAGGATTGAAAATGCTTAGATGACTTACTGAAAAAAAAAAAAAAAAGGTTACACAAGTAGATGCATATATAACGATGATACTATTATATGGAAAAACCTACATAAGAAAAAAAAAACTTGGAAGTTCCCAAAATACTTACAATGAATGTTAAAGTTATGGAATTATGACTGATTCCCCCCTCTCCCTTCATGTGTCAAATTGAAAAAAAGGACTCTAATACTTTTATCATTAAAAATAAAATGTATTATATTTTATTTCTAAATTTCCTCTTCAGGAGTTACATATAGCTATCTTCCATGATATTGACATTTTGCATGGATTAGTTAATCTGTTTGCATTTGAGGAGTTAAAAATATTTTCAGCTTGGGTTTATGGAATATCAAACTATTGGGTTTAGACCAGGGGTGGGCAAACTTTTTGACTCGAGGGCCACAATGGGTTCTTAAACTGGACCGGAGGGCCGGAACAAAAGCATGGATGGAGTGTTTGTGTGAACTCATATAAATTCAAAGTAAACATCATTACATAAAAGGGTACGATCTTTTTTTTTTTTTTTTTTTTTAGTTTTATTCATTTCAAACGGGCTGGATCCGGCCCTCGGGCTGTAGTTTGCCCACGGCTGGTTTAGACAATTACCTTGGCATCAAATGGTTATTATACCAACAGTAATAAGCCACAAAGCTATAGTTACCATGCTGAAAGAATGAAATGCATTTTATTTGGACATTAGCAAGAAAGCTTTACAAACTCCTAGAATATCACAAATAAGCAGGCAGGAGAGGAACCAATAAAGCAGAAATGTACCGAGGATGCTTAGAGGACAATTTTAGGATATGAAAGCCTTCTTGACTTGAGTTTCAAGTTTGGATGCCCCTGCTTGAAGCCCCATTTTCTTTTTTTTTTAAAAAAACCATATTTTATTTTATTTTTTTACGGAGAGGAAGGGAGAGGGACAGAGAGTTAGAAACATCGACGAGAGAGAAACATCGGTCAGCTGCCTCCTGCACACCCCCCACTGGGGATGTGCCCGCAACCAAGGTACATGCCCTTGACCGGAATTGAACCTGGGACCCTTCAGTCCGCAGGCCAATGCTCCATCCACCGAGCCAAACCGGTCAGGGCCCCATTTCCTT